TAGAAGGGAAGGAAGGGACGGGGGGGGGAGGGAGGAAGGGGAGGGAGGGAAAGATGGGAGGGAGGGAAGGAAGGAAGGGAGGGGTGGAAAGGAGGGGAGGAAGAGAAAGAAAATCCAACAAATTTGATGAAGGGGACATAGATAGGGTTATTTTACTAATGCCAATTTCTGTAATCCAATTTTTTCTTGAAATAGGGTCTACTTAGTCCAGGGTAGCCTTGAATTCAATATGTAGACCAGGCTGGTCTTAAACTCACAGAGATCCACCTAACACCACTTCTTGAGTGCTGGGATTAAAGGTGCACTCCACCATGCCCTGCATAATCCAAATTCTTCACAAACATCATTTGAATGTGTATTCTTGATAAGTTTTCTATTTATACTCAGAATTTCTTTCTATACATGTTGTTTTCCAAATTTGTACAGATAAAAAAATCTAATCACAGTTAAACACTCAGACATTACAGTAGATAGACCATGTACGATTTAAGTGAAATACTACATGTCAAAGTTCTTTCTAAGAAATCAGTACATCCAGATTGCTATGTTGCGGTGGACTTCATTTTTATTAACCTGGTTTCTCTGGAATAGTTGTTTATCAGGCAAAAAGAGGTGAAAAAATCCAAGAACATGCCAAGTTATTTCTACCCTACTCATTCAAGTTTAGAGCTTGACAGCTGTCAATCATTTAACAGCTAATTTGGAGGTGGGTACAGGAGCAGCTGCAGTCCAATCCCTTTGCATGCTAAAGGACTCTGTCCTATGCCCTGCCAGGGGACCTGCTGACCACCCTCCACTGACCGAGCTGTCTGGTGTGGCTCACCTGAGGGTGCAGAAGCCTGGCCCACTGACCTCGGTGCAGAAGAACCACCTTCAGTGGCCACTGCCCCAGGCCTTCCTGTGAGGTCAGCTGTACCTCAGTTCTGTTTGTACCTTCCCAGTCCAGCTCCTCATTTCATGCCAATACTGCTTCTGAGAGCGTTCCCAGTAAAACTCTGGGCAGTGCAGGAACTAGCTATTATCACATAAACATGAAACGAGATCAGAGAAAGCATTTTCCTTAACAATTACCTGCCGCTGCTGGATTTCCAGAACCCACAGACAAAGGAATGGTATGTTATACTAAACCACTCGTTCTGAAGCTGCCTCATGCTCTAGAAGTGACCTGTCTAATCTTAAGAGTGGTTTTATTATATGGATTTTTGTTCAGAAAATAGCAGTATATGGGAAAGTAAACTAAGAAAGAAGGTATCACTTAACACAGGGGAAAAAGATTTGGTTACAAAATATTGCAAGATACAGCCAGGCATGGTAATGCAACACCTTTAGTCACAGCCCTTGGGAGGCAAAGAAAGGTAGATCTCTGTGACTTCAAGGCCAGCCCGGTCTACATAGTGAGATCCAGACCAGCCAGGACTATGTGGTGAGACCTTGTCTCAAAAATGATTTTTCAATATACAAATTAAACATCCTTAATCCAAAAATCTAAAACCGGAAATGCTCCCAAATCCAAAATGCTTTCAGAGTTGACCTGACAGTGAAATAGTCCACGACATGAAAGTATGCTTAATGCACCGCCACCAAAACACTGTGTTACATTCAGGCTGTGTGCGTAAAACATGAATGAAATAAATGCATTTATCTTCATACCAGAGGCCCATCCCTATTCTTTTTATGTGACCTAATATTTATTTTTCCTCTCTCTCTCTCTCTCTCTCTCTCTCTCTCTCTCTCTCTCTCTCTCTCCCTGTGTATACATGTGAATTTTCCAAAGTTTAATAAAATCTAAAGACAAAAACATCCCTAATCCAAAACACTTCTCCAACCAAGCATTGGAATCAAGGACTGCTCAACAGATATCCATTCAACCACCCAAAGGCTGTGATGTGTATCTAGTCTCCCACGTCATCAATGGGCAGCCTTAGGAACTTGACCTGAGCAGCTGTAGAAACTATTACACAGGAAGTGAGAATAACTCCCACGTGGGAGTCTGTGAGGGTGGCAGTTGAGTGACATGTCAGTCAACGGTACCTGGTTCTCAATGGCCTTCCTGTTCTTGGGGTCGCTCACCACGGACAGCTGCAGCTCCGCCATCTTCTTCATCTTGCTGTCCATGTCGATCTTCTGAAGCAGGTTTCTGGTCTGGCTCCTCAGCAGCCGTACCGTGTCCTCTTTCCCATGCTTCTTTGCAAAAAGGGATGCACACGCAGAGTGTATGGCAGTGACCCAGTTTTCCAGATCTGTCTGGCTAGTGGCCTAAGCAAGGAATGAGGGGGCTGTTTGAGATTATTTTAACACAAAGCTCTCTGCACTACACACACACACACACACACAGACACACACACGGATCCTCCTACCCGACACATCAGAACTGAATCTTAAAGCCACAGGCTAAGGCAGGGCTCCAGCCTGATTTATCCAGTCACAATGGCATGTTCTTTCATTATGTCTTTTCCAGTTGGTCATGAAATTTTCAAACTAGGATACGGAAAAAAAAAACTGGAGTCCTAGGCTGGCAGGATTGCTCAGTAAGTAAAGGCATTTGCTGCCAAGCCTGACAATCTGGGTTGGATCCCCAGAACCCACATGGTGGAAAGAGAGAACCAATTCTGCAAGTTGTTCTCTAACCTTGACACAGCATGGTGACACCCAAGTGCACACAACCCCACACACAAATAAGAAATCTAAATAACTAAATAAATAAACTAAGTCCACTGGCTTTCAAGTAGTGTTTTCTGGAATTCCAAAGAGAAAAGGTGACTCAAACTCCCAAGAGAGAAAATGGACTGGGTCACAGCACATGGCCAAGCAAGAGGCTGTGGTATTGGTCATGTGACCAAGCAGAGGCGCTGGTCGGGCAGAGAGTGTTGGCCCTGTCTCAAAGCAGATTTGCTCTGAATCTATAAAGAATGTTGGCATTCTATACAAGACATGTTTTAAAAAATGTTATTATTTTTTTTATGTGTATGGGTATAATGCCTGCATGTAGGTAGGTTAACCTGTGGCATGCAATGCCCACAACAGAGGCCAGAGACAGTAGAATCTCCTGGAACTGGAGTTACAGGCCGTTATGAGCCACATGATGTGATGCTGGGAAATGAACCCAGGTCTTCTGCGAGAGCAATAAATACTCTTAACTGCTGGACCATCTCTCTAACCCATCTTTGTAATTTTAACAAAATGACAAAAGGTTGAGACTAAAATATCTAAATACAAAATCTGAATATAAAATCATATCTACTGGGTGACCTCAATTATGAAAAATATCCAGAAAAGAAAAGGAAAGAATATATAATAATGAGCCACAATGGTCACATATTCTTAATACTTCTAAAAAAATAAATTCCAGACCTGGTGGCACGTGCCTTTAATCCTAGCGCCCAGGAGGCAGAAGCAGGCAGATCTCCATAACATTGAGGTCAGCCTGGTCCACATAGTGACTTCCAGGCGGACTGTGACTAGGGAGACTCTGTCCAAACAAAACAAAAACCAAATAACAACAACAAAAACAAAGAAAAAGACAAATGTAGCCTGGAAAGATAAACTCATGTACGCACACATATACATAATCGTTTAAAAATCTTTTGGAAAAAAGGAAAACTATTTTTTTAAGGGAAGTTTGAATAACTGATGAGAAAGAAGCAAATATGTCTGATTGTGAGTGGGCTGAGAGGCGTTTTCCATTCTCTTCATGTCCAGAAAGAGCCATGCATTCCAGACATGGAGCTCCTTCCCTCTTGGCCTCTGGATTCACAGAAAAAGACCAACTACAAAACCATCTCTAAACTAACGATATTCTGCCTGAATGACAAAAATACAAGATCCATTCCAACTTACTCTGAGAAGTCTGTGCAGACTTGACTGCATATATGTTTCTCCCTCTCTATGATTCAGGTAACAATTCATGACCTGGCTTTCAAGCACTCTGAAAGACTTCACTCTTTCTACAAAGAAGAGGATGATGCAAGCCCAGATCCCCACATGGCCATCCCACCAGCAGCAGGGCTAGTTTACTTGCTGCTGTTCCTAGGACACTGCTGAGTATCCTCTTCAGGGAAGGCTAAGACTCCCAAAGCCTAGAGAACCTTTGCTCTGTAAGGCTTCCACAGGTACCAGCCAGGACCGACATGACCAAACGTGTGCACTGTAGTCCCAGCTTCTCTGGAAACTAAGAGAAAAGGAGTTTTTGGAAGCAGATATCAGAGTATTAGAGGTCAGCTTGGATAACATGGTGAGATTCTGTCTCAAAATCATTTTTCTTTACCAAACATATTTTATCATTTATCCTTAAATATCTTGTAAGCTCTTTCTGTTGTTGTTGATGATGGCGGTGGTGGTGGTAGAAAAATGGTCTCACTCTGTAGCCTAGGCTGTTCTAGAACTCAGTTTCCTAGACTAGTCTGAAACTCACAGTGATGCTGCTTCTGCCTTAGCCTCACAAGTGCTAGGATTATAGGTGTAAGTCACCTTGCCTAGCTTCTGTGCACCCTTATAAACTACTTATTGAAGGCCTGGGGCTCCAAGAAGTTGGGTAAGTGTTCCAAGAAGATATAGGTGCTCAACAGTGGCAGTGGGACTCAAACCTAAGTTTGACTCAGTCTACAGGATGCAAAACCATCATGTTCCACAACTGAACATTTCTACAAAATTACTAAAAATCCTAGCTGCAGATATAGTGAATGTTACTACCCAAAGGTCACAGTCACTTTGACCCTGCAGCATTAGTACAGGAGGGTTTTCTTAATAGGCTTCTTCTCTGATTTCTACTGGAATTCTTGGAAGGAGCCTAAGTTGTCCCCATCCACATTCTTCAGGCTTTCTTTAAATGGCCTCTGTTCTGGGACTCTCAGACATTACACTGTCTGGGTTGTAAATTACCCAGAGCACAGATCACGGTGTTTTCTCTTTGTCTTGCTATGCATGTCACAGACCACAGCACCCGACAATGCCTGCTGTAGGAACTACTAGAGTGGCCACAGTCCTGGCTGGCAGCAGGAGCCACAATCTCCTGATCTCCTTCTCACACCCTAATCCCAACACCTACTGAGACATTTAACCTATTTCATCTCTAAGTTTTTCTTCTTAACCCTGTTCCTTCTAATCTTTTTTTTTTTTTTTTTTGGTCTTTATGAAACAGAGTCTCCCTGTAGCCCATGTAGACCAGGCTGGCCCCAAACTCACAGAGATCTGCCTGCCTCTGCCTCCCAAGTGCTGGGATTAAAGGCGTGCGCCTTAATCATACACTCACCATCTCTTTACCTCCCCCTTCCAAGCAGCAGTACCTGGAAAAGGTAGACATCTCCAAAGGAGTTGCTCAGGCAGAACACATGCTCCTTCTTGGGGTGCTCTGGGACAGACTGCACGATGCTGTCCTCGGCAAAAAGGGCGCACCGTGGGGTACTACTCTGGTCTGTCGAGTTCTTTCCATAGGTCTCATAAAACAGCAGGGTACAGCCTGGGAAAGATAGACACAGAATAAGGTCCCTGCCTCAAAACCTAAAAAAGGCATGAGGGTAAGGGATATGCCCCCAACACCTCCAAACACCTGCATGAGGCCAGTGTTTACTCCAAAGAAGGAAACCCTGGCATGTGCAGGACGGCTAGCTACTCTCATGAGCAGAACGAAAGCCAGACATGGGATGTGGTCAGTGGGTTATCAGCTATAACAATGCTGAGCATGACCTCCATCTGGTTCCCAGGTTCTCTGAACACCCCAGCCCCTTAACCCACACAACTGCCCTATAAAGGGGGCAGAGTGATGTACCCCATTCTACAGACAAGAATCAAGAGCTGGCATCATCTATTTAGCTCCCCAATCCCCGCCAGCTGGATGGCAGTGGAGGAGGGATATAAATCCAAAACCCGTGTTCTTAGGTATGACACTGTGTTGTTCAGAAGGTATTTATTAAATGTGGAGAAAATCTATGCATTAACTATACTTAACAGTGTGTGGTCACAAGACACTGGGTATATCAAGGGAACTTAGTCATTTATGAGAAAACATCTAGTTTATCCTTCAAATGTACATCAAATAACTTTAGTATACTCTTTTATCTCACAAAATAGGAAACCAGATATGCCTAAATAAAAAAAGCAACAGCAGCACAGGTATGCTTTCTGGTATAGGTTTTACTTTAAACCTCCACCCAAAAAACACATTATTTTGTGTTTGTATCCATGTGCAAGTGTGTGTGCATATGCATGTGAATGCCAGAGGTCAACCTCAGATGTCATGCGTTAGGATGCCATCCACTTTGTTTATTGAGATAGGGTTTCCCCACTTTTACTTGGAGCTTGCTGACTTGGCGATGCTAGACAGACAGCCCCAGGGATCCACCTGTCTCCTCCTCCCCATCACTGGGGTTACAAGCATACAGCACCATACCTGCGCTCTCTTTAATGTGGGTTCTGGGGATCGAACTCAGATCCTCATGCTTGCAAGGCAATCACTGTACCAACTGAGCCATCTCTCCAGCCCCCAAGAAACATCTCGAGCACTTGCTATTCAGCAAGCTACAGTACAGCTGCAAATCTTTTCCACTCAACAGTAGAAAACCAGCTATCAGTCTTCTGCCATGAAAGTGAGCAGGGTCCACTGTGTTGTGTCCTTATACATAAAAGTTTAGGTGTTGTAGAAATTAGCTCATGGACAGAGGGTGTCGCTCAGGGGCAGAGGACTTGCCTCGCATGTGTAAGGCCCTGGTTTCCAAGCCCAACACCACTCATATGCATATACACAGTATTCCATTCTTGCAAGGGTCACAGGTTCCTTGACATGAACCAACACTACAGCACAGAGCTGGGGGAAAAGATGGCTGTCTCAGTGCAGCCTTCTGAAATGGCCCTTTATCCTATCGTAGCACTTTATCACCTCAGGAAGTATGGAGCAATCCCTCCCTTCTGCGAACAAAACTTGTTTAAACTAGGAAGCTGAGCACAATCAAATATTAAGAACCAGAGGTTTATGACTAGAGTTGCTTCTTCTTGGTCTACATACCAGCCAGTGACACCCATGGAAGCAAGCCCAACCTCTCCTTTGAGAAAGGCCTACTTGTCCCTACACATGCAGCACACCATGATCTGAGGTTCACAGGCCAGGGTAAAGTGGACACAGCATGTGCCAGCTTCACCCACTGCAAATTCTTCCCAATGGGTTTATGGTTCCTTCTTAGTTCCCCTACCTCGTGTCCCAACAACCATGAACTGAATTACTACATCTAATTCAAACCCTGGACAAAGGTTACCATGTCACCAAACACCTTACTGAAAGCAGCGACACTCCGTGGGGACATTCCACTTTAGAGCTGGACCAACATGCAGCACCATATGCAGAACAGCAAGTCAATCTCAACCCTGCTACATCGATTTTTAACTTAAAGGAATTGTGTGCCTCAAAGGGGCCTTGGAGTTGACGGAAAGGGAGCACCTGTCGAGGAAGCCTCCTTCAACTCACCCCAGCGGTACAGCCATCACCTGCTCCAGGCCCACTGGGCCCTAGTAGGATTCCTGCAGATATTCTTTTTGCCACAATATCAGGAAGCAAACCAGACCTGACCAGTAGTGCAAGGACAAGACTAGAAGAGGCAATAATGGAATCCCACCAGGGGAAGAGGAACAGTTAGTCTGGGTCCTCCCCTCAAATCTACCTTCTCTTTGACACCCTCACCCCATACTGCCCTCCCAATTCCCTGCTGGGGGCAGTTATCTCAGGGCAGAGGCACCAACATTCTAAACCCATCTGATGGGCTCCTCTCTCAACACCATACAGTCTACTGTGCATTTCGAGAGATATCTATAGAGACCTTGCCAACTCTTCAGCCCAGGAAGCTCCTGTGAACTGCATGGAAATCCACCCATTGGAAAAGACAGATGCAGCCTTGTTAAAAACTTACTGTATCTTCCAAACTCTAATCTTTGTGTGCTTAGCATATTTGTGCATCAGTGGAGGCAAGTCACAAGACAGTTCAATCACAATTACTCTCTCCAGATAAATTTTCCAATTTGTTCACATGACTACTTCAGGGATATTTTTCAAATTCTGCTGAAATGATGCCTATCTATATGTACATCTATATGTTTTCAGCTAAGATTAAACCAAATAGTTTAGTTCCAACACTACAGCTTAGACTGGAGGCCAAGAAAGTAGAACGCAACACAGTAAATTCCCAGAGGAAAGAGGTGGAGACAGGATGGGGGGTAACCAACTGCTTTGGGATTGGATTTGAGGCCTGCTCCACAGGAAGGAATCCAGTCCTGGATTGTAAACCTGGTCAAAAGCCCAGAGTTCAGGAGTTTGCACAGATCCTTGAAGGGAATGTATTACTATTGCTTTGTTAAATGACATGTTGTTAAATCGCCTTCTAAATATGTATGCTTATACCCATAGATAAGTGTTGCCCTCAACTTCGGCCAGAGAAGCTTCTCTCCACAGTGGTCAGCAATTAATGCAGAGACTCATAACTGGTCAAAGTGCTGAGAAGAAAACATCACAGAAGAGGGGTAGAAAAAAATGTAAGAGCTGGAGGGTGGAGAGGAGTGTGCTGTGATACGCTGTCTCAGAACATGCATGGCCGTTAGAACATGCACGGCTGCTGCACGCATGAGCCCACTGCAGCTATGGTCACCTGCACAAGATCACTCAACAGTCCAGCAAGAAGCACTAATTGGACTCAGTGGATTATTAATTTTTTAAAAGGGAGAAGACAGGAATGGAGAAGGGGATGTTTCCAGGGTATGAGGGGAGTGGGAGGGAGAAGTTGGAGTTCTTGTCTGTGAGGAGTGGAAGAGGGGGTTGGGGATGTGTCTGATCAAGACACACATTTACATGTATGAGATGGTCAAGGAATAAATTATATAATATTTAAGTGGAGAAAGCACTAAGGAAAAGGGAAAGGTTATATTGGAGCTGGGGTTATCTCCTGCCTAGACTCAGCTACAAAGGAAACAAAGAATGTTTGATATCACTCACAAAGCACTTTTATCGATGGTGTATCTGTGTTTACAGGTGAGCTCCCAGAGCACAGGCAGGACACAGACTAGGTAGTGGTCAAGAAAACCCAGGCCCATCCCACCCTAAAGTAAAACAGGAACCTGGTGATTGGTCCTCAAAAGCCAGGAAGTTATACCCGCCTGATTCCCAGCCCACTTCCCAAGAGGCCGCTGAAATCTGGCTCTGCAGGATGGGCCTGACGTTAGTGGCTGCGGCTGACAGCATTCACAATCAGCCAGCTTTCCATTAGCCCTGTCCTAAGAGCTGCAGAAGCAGAATCCGGTCACCACCACCACCCCCGTCCAAGCACTGCTGCCCACTCCCGCCCCAGGTCTTATTTTCTCCAGGGTAAATATTCCTTGATCCTTTGCTATCTTCCATATGGCATGGCTCCAAATCCCTTCACCATCATGTGAAACCTAAATTGTCAAGCTGGGATATGGTCACGCACCGTCCCATCACAAGCACTTCCACCCAAGTTACCAAGGGGGACTAGAGGTTTTCAGAGCCATAGACAGGCATCCTTCCAAAAGCATTCATTTTTAAAAAACTGTTACTTAAAAAAAAATAGATCCAGAACACATCATGGGGTTAAAGGGTGTCCAGTCTAAATATCATCAAAGTTGGAGGCAGCATCACATGGAGCCATAATTTCAAATGCTCAGGCCACTTCTGGAAGAGGGACAAGTACCCACGTAAGGGTAGTGGAGGTAGAGCTCTCACAAGTCTGAGAAAGTAGAAACTTGCAAAATTCTCAAGGCCCCTCCCCAGCTTTATAGAAGCTGTAAACAACTGTGGGGGCTGACTCTGACCAGCCCAGCTGTGGAGAGCCGACTCTGACCAGCCCAGCTGTGGAGGGCTCTCCCACCTGTCCAGCCACCTGTAAGCTGTGCAGACAGCTCCAACGTGGGAGCTTTTGTGGGTCACCTGTGTCGGGGTGGGCGTTTTGGTGATATACTGCAGCTTTTGAGACATCTCCGCTCTTGTAAGGAACCCCTCACCCACTCCTATTAGAAACCTTGATTAAAATCTCAGCAGTTCCCCAAGGTGGACTTCAGTGCAATCATTACTTTGGTCTGTTATGGGTGCCCTTTCTGGAGTGAGTAGATGTATAATGGTTACCCCGGAAAATCTGTCACACCAGGACAAAGGAAGGAGACTGTCAGTGCCTTTGCAATAGTGGAGCTGAAGATAATAACATCCACTCTTTCAAGACATGCCTACTTTTACTTCAGGCCATATTGTCTTGGAAACTCATTCCCCATGGCCTGCAAATCAAATCCGCAAACCTTTTTCACTTATAAAACATTTCAGCAGAATTTCATAGCCTGTCTTGGGGTGGCCATGTGACTTTTAGACTAAGGCACAATTTTCTTATCCCTTCAAAAACATATCTTAATGGATCTGAGCCTTTTTTCCAAACTTCCTATGTCTCTCCTCTTACTCTCTGCCTCCCCAGGACCTGAGAACTGGGTCAGTGTGTCAGTTCTTTGCTTTTCTCCCCATAAGAATCCCAATCCAGGTGAGAAAAAAAATGACAGACGTGTATGCAGGTATTTGGTCCTAAGGCTTGCTTACACACACACACACACCCCTCTTGTGATATGTGTGCTTACACACACACACACACACACACACACACACACACACACACACACACACACACACATACACACACCAGACCACACATACATACCACACACACACACACCCTACCACCCCCACACACCCCATGCACACAAACCAGGCACCCCCCCCACATCACATACACACCAGATTCCTGCCATATGCCATACACCACACCCACACACTATACCCATACCACATACACCCCCACACACATACACAAGCACCAGACCCCCAAACACATCACAAACACACCAGACTCCTGCCATATGCCATACACCATACATACACACCACACACAGAGCATACCACAAACCACACATCTAAACAGACCACACCAAACACACCACATCACAAACCACACATACCACACAAATCACACACATACACCACCACACAAATCACACAAATCACACACACATACACACATGCACACACAGATACACCCCATGTACTAGGGAAATGTGCTGAGGCTTTTGCAATCACATTTACCAGAGGGGCTTCTGGACAACCAAGAAGTGATGACCATCCTTCAAGATGGGGCAATGCTACAATCTCTAAACGGACAGCAAAGGAGAGCTAAGAAGCGGCAATACAGGGGCCCTGGGCACTTCACACATACTGTGCACAGATGTGATTCGTGTTTCTGCTTTCTTCCCTAATGGCAGCTGATCCTGACTTCTGAAACATCACATTCAGTTCCTTTGACAGGGCCACAGGAGAGCTGTGCAGAGGCCGTGCCTCCCAGCTGTATCTGCATAAATAAATCACAGCTGCTCTCACTGACACCTCTCGCTTCCTCACAGGACAGAGTCCTTCAGAGCTGTACAGCCACAACAAGCAAAGCCATTACAATTTTTAATTGGCAACATGTGTGAGCAGCTTTCTCCTCTTAACAAATTCCTGTTTCTGTTTGCTTAAGACAGAAATGGAGGGAGGGAGAGGACGAGGCAAGAAGGGAGCTGGGCCACCTGAGAGTTCAGCCCTGTCCCAGAAATGCTTAGCATGTTCACAGTCCCGGGTTCAACCCTCAACACCAAAACCAAACAAGGGAACAAGCGGCTGTACTGGGCAGGGGTAACAATGAGACTTTCTTAGTTAACAGAAATGGGGATGATACAAATCCAATGATCTAGACAACATTCAGTCCAGGAAGGGCACAGGTTTGGAGTTCTACGCACGATGGGGAATCCAAATACATAAAACACACGTGACAGTCATTCAGGGTTTGTTTTGTTTTTTCTAGATACAACTAAAGGAGCAAAGAATGGTATAGTAAACACATAGAAAATGATTTAATTTAAAATTATTGCTTACTATTTACTAGACTACATAACATGAACAGTGAGCAAGCTTACTAAATAGGTTTGGCAGAGTTACTTGTAGCAGAGCATGTGATGAGGTTCTGCATCAGAATCGTTCATGTTAGGGCTAGGAAGATAGCTCAGTTCATGAACTGATTGCCTTGCAAGCATGAGGCCCTGGATTTGATGCTTAGAATCCTCTTATTTTTTTAAAGAAAAGCTGAGCACTGTAGCATGTGTTTACAATCCCAGTCCTGGGAAGGTCGTAGAGCCCTAGGACTCTCTGGCCAGCCAGGCAGGCCAAGAGACTCCAGTCTCAAATTAAGGTGGATGGTCCCCAGAACTGATACCTGAGGTTGTCCTCTGGCCACTACATGAATGTGGATACACATATACGTGCACACACATGCTTGCGTGCAAACACACAGAATCCTTCATACTAACTCTAACACTTTGTCACTGGTCCTCCCTAGGAGAAGACAAAGGACAGGATCACATGTGGCCTTCAGTGACCTGTGGCCCACTTACCTTTGAGGGTCACCCAGTACTGTTTCCACCTCCTCCGAGCCACCAGCTCCAGTTTCCTCTCCTTCTGCAAGGTGACAAGGGGTTTGAAGAAGAGCCACCCGGCTTTCCGGACCACCCCCTGCTCCTTCTCAAACAGCAGCTCTAGCTGCTCCAGGGAGCTGAGGGACTCGCTACTGGACTCCACAGAGTCTGTGGAGGTTTCCACGTGCTCCGTGTTTGTCCTGCTCATTTCCAGCTCCCGCATGAAATTCTCATAAATGTTCTGTTGGAAGGGATCGCTGCCGATCACATGAGTGGACTCGCTTCTCTGTGGCAGGATCTGAGCCGAGCCCCCTGACCATAGTAAGGCAGATGTCTGAGAGGGTCCCTGCACATCTGCATTCAGTCCATCTGAGTGGCTGTCGAAGTAGTCACTGCCCTCCTTGGACCGTGGCTCCTGCACACAACACAAATGACCAGTCATCATCACAGGCTATGACACCTTCCCTCACACAGCCTCGGTGTGACTGGCTATGTCCAGCACTGGTGGTGCAAAGCCAGAGCCTTGTAATTCTGATCATCACATCTCCAAACCAGAAGGAATTTTAGAAAGAGAACCATTCAATCTCATGTACATCAATGCAGATAACACTTACAGAGGTAAATATGACGCCACTGGCTCTCCTAATCTACCTAGACTATAGTTAACATCAAACACCAATTAACTGATATATTTAAAACACTAGTGATGATTTCTAGGGTGATATTCTTTGCTAACTGTGAATCAGTGTCTTCCAGGGAAAAATTCACTTTCTTATAATCTATGTTCCTCCTAAATCATGTGAAAATGAAGTTGGAAAATCACCTGTTCCAGGGCATGGTAGGGGAGGACAGGAGTTGGTGATGTTATATGAAACCCCACAAACTTTTCTTCATCTCCTTATGGTAAATGTAGTCTTCAACTTCTGGTCAACTACTCAGGCTTAGAATTATAGATGCAAAGACCTTTAACATCCTATTTTCCTTGTTCATATCATAAAATCCAGGCCCCAAAGGTTCATAACCCACCAAAGGTATTGCCTAGCAATTGTAAGGTTTTTCCATGATTCCTATTTTTACTTAACTTTGGAATTTACCTTATGAAAAAAGTACTGATTCATTTGCTCATACCCTGTCATTTGACTACCTGTTTTATTCTAGGTACCAGGAAACACCAAAGGAACATGATTCTTAACTTTAATATTGATTCCAATACAAAATCAAACACAAGCAACTCTAAATGAACTCTACAGTTATCTAGTAACTGCTGCCTCATACTAAACCCTAAAAACACTGAACATACAGCCAGGCAGTTATAGCGTTGAGCCAGAAATGCAAGACTTTTATCCTAATGCCTTTACTAGCTTTCATGAAAAGTAACTGTCAGATGGGACAGTCACTGGTAAACAGGAGAAACTAGCCAGATACAGTGGTTTGTGCCTGTAACCCAATATTCAGGAAAATGAGGCAGAAGGATTACCAGGAGTTCAGACCAGCATGGACTACCTAGTGAGTTTCAGGACAGCCTGGGCGACAGAATGAGACCCTGTCTCAAAAATAAATAAATAATTTAATAAAATACCAACTGATTTTTTCATCAGGAAGTGAAATTCTGTTCTGGCTTAGAAGGTACTGATGCCCCAAATACCCAGCTCATTTTAAGATAGCTACAGAGAAGTACAGCCAAATGTACTCAGTTGCTGGTGGGATTCTGATATCTCCTTATCATTCAAGTTAAAATGGGGATAAACTGAGTCACAAGCCACTGGTAAGAGCCGTATTTTGAACATTCCACTGTGTGGAGAGGTTTCTCTTTTGGAAATTACACCTAGAGCTCAAATCACATTTACTTGCTGTCTTCTATAGGAAAACTATCACCAAGTAACCAGAGTCTTACCCAGGGCCCAGGACCTGTAAACAGAGCCGGAACATGGATGGCCGGCTGTTACTAATGGAAATACTATTTCCCACTGTCTTTGCACTATGTCCCATAGTCATCTTATTTATACACTGACACCTCTGCAGAGCAAGGTAAATAAACCAGGCACTGTGAGTCACTTAGGAAACTTCCAGAATGCTTGAAGATTCTCTTAATTGTCACTTTGTTGACCTTCAAAAATGCCTAGGAGTTGAATGAAGCAAGTATTAATGTTACTGCAGCTATGAATTTATGAATTTGACTCTCAGACTCACTGGCCCCAAACAATGGGTGAAACTGTTTCCCTATCAGAGCCATATCGAGGTTTTCTTTCTTTTCTTTTCTCTTTTTGTCTTTTTGAGACAGGGCCTCCCTGTAGCCCCAGCTGGCCTGGAACTCACTATGTAGACCAGGCTGGCCTCGAACTCAAAAAGATCCACCTGCCTCTGCCTCTCCAGTGCTGGGATGAAAGGCGTGCACCACCACGCGGGGTTTTCAAAGCCAACAAAACTCAGGCAGAGAGAAGCACCTAAGTGCCCAAGCTACAAGTAACCTATAAACACTGTTGTCATTGATTCTCATAAGACAGATTTCAAGGTGTAAGGATAACTGTTAAATGTCCAGCCCAGCCGAAGCAAAGCAAGACTGTTCCTCCTTGAGAGATAAACAAACGTTACATGTGGGTATTTATAACTGAGACTTACAGGCATGAATTTTCCCAGGCCCTAATCCAGTGTCTAAAACTGTCCATCTATAATCCTAACTGCCAATGATGAAATCTCAGGCTAAGAGTAGCCTTTTTAAAAATAAATGTTTAGGGGCTGGAGAGATGGCTCAGCGGTTAAGAACACTGTTTTTTCTTGTAGAAGACCCAAGTTCGAATCCCAGTCCTGACCTCTGTGGGCATTGCACGACACGGGTGCACTTACCTACATCATGTATGTAGGCAATACGTGCATATAAAATAAAATAAATAAAATTAAAAAAATAAATATATAAAAAAAATCTCTAATAGATTCAGACATAATTCTTGGGTTTTTTTTTTAAAGACAAGGTCTCCCTGTAGTCTCAGCTGGCTTTGAACTCACTATGTAGACCAGGATGGCCTCAAACACACAAAGATCTGCCTGCCTCTGCCTCCCAACTCCCAAGCACTGAGACTAAAGTAAGGCATGTACCACCGCACCCCCGCCTCAGACATAATTCTTAACTGTGAGATGAGTGCAAAACTAAGGAGCTTATTCTGCACATGCACAGAGCCTGTGAGCTCTATCTTAGTCATAACCATCAACAGCAGCTACTGTAACTTGATGACCAGGACACTAACAACCCAATGTTGGCGGGGGCATGGGTAGAAACTGAGGATCTCTGTGTCCTAAATCCACTCTGTGACAAACTATAGCAGTCCTCAGTCCTGCCAAACATTTCTGGTTCTTCCAAGGGCACACAGTAGGATCGCTTTCCCTCCTCTCCTTGAAGTTAGGCCTGGCCTTATCCTTTGCTGTGCCCAGTAAATGTGAGAAGTTAAATGTGTCAGTCCAGACTGGGAGCCTTCAAAGTCAACATATGATTTTCTCTTCTATCTGCTAGCTGCTCTGTCAGCCTGAGGTCCCAGCTACCAGCTGACTATGATGAACACACAGCATGAGTGAGAATCAAACTTTGGTTACCCCAAATCACAGAGATGCAGGGGTTTTGTTACTCAGCAAAGCATAGGTTATCCTGACTGAAGGAACTCGATGTTTAACCAGGACATGATCAAGCTATCACATTACCTAAAATTAACATGAAGTGTTTATCCTCATCAAGCACATATTGTTCTCTGGTACATTTTTGGTGCCTTGTTATAGTATTTTATCATAGATCTTTCCCGTACATGGATTGCGGACTGCCTTCTCTTTGTGTATGTGGTGCTAAGAATTGAGCCCAGGGCTTCAGCATGCTGCACTCTATTACTGAGCTATATCCCCAGCACTCTTATTTTTTGCTTTGAGACAGGGTCTCACTAAGCTGCCCAGGGTAGCTTTGAACTCACTCTGCAGCCTAGACAGGCCTTAAACTTGGAATCCTCCTGCCTCAGCTTCCCAAGTAGTTGGGATGCACGTGAAATGGGAGTTGAGAAGAAAAGGCCAAGACAGCTCCATTGCTTGATGCTTTGGCCTAAGGAACAACATCTCCAGAATAAGGGAAGAGGAGGCACTAGAGACAGGATGTTGAGTGCCCATTCGTCATGTCTGTTAGGGGAAATGATGGTGAGAGCAGACACCACGCATGAGAAGGAAGTAACTAACAACAAACGGGAAGCTATTCCGTCTTCCACTCCTAATGCCCCATAAATTTTTATTCATTCATGAATGCATATCTAAGAAGATTAAGGCAAGATTCTATCAAGGACTAATTGCCCAATCAGACTCCCTTCAACTCTATAATTTATACTAATTAAAAAACAAAAAACAATAACAAAACCTAAGAAGATTAAGGCAAGATTCTATTAAGGACTAATTGCCCAATCAGACTCCCTTCAACTCTATAATTTATACTAATTAAAAAACAAAAAACAATAAAAAAACCTTCTCCCTTCTATAACTAGTAGTAAAAACAAAGGGCTAAGGATGTAGCTCAAGGTAAGAGCACTTGCCCAGCACGTACAAAGTCCTGGGTTCCATTCCCAGCACCACACATACAATTAAAAAGACAATCTGAAAACTTAAGCAATTGCAATTAGCTGCTTTAAAAAACTGGTGCTAAGCCGCTTTGTCCCATATTAAAAATTTTATAGATCAGGGCTGGAGAGATGGTTCAGTGGTTAAGAGTACTGGCTGCCCTTGTGGAGGACCTGGGTTTGGTTCCCAGCACCCACATGGCAGCTAAACTCTGGTTCCAGGGGATCGGATGCCCTCTTCTGACCTCCTTGGGCATTGCACAAAACAAGTGTACTTACATACATACAGGTAATTCACTCAGACACATAAAATGAAAAAGAAAATATTAGAAAAAACCTTTTATATATCATGAAAAGGATTATCATCAGGATACTTTATAGACATTTATAGACTTTTGCTTTTCATGTACTTGAACATAAAACATTTTCAAATTTCGTTATCTATTCCCCTGACAAAGTAGTCAGATTGTATACAAAGGGATATAATGTCAATGGTTTAGGGTTCTTTTGAGAGATCTTTTAATGTACCAACTTAAACATAGAAACCTTCGCTTTCTCAAGTAATATCAAGCCGAGAGGACCTCCTATCCAAACTTAATGACTATCTCTCTTCCATTTTTATTTGGACATAAAGATTTCAGATTAATTAAAAAAAAAAAAAAACTTCAAATTACCAGTTCACTTGGGCCTTCTCCCAGTTGGGAGAGTTTCAGACTGGCCTGTGGAGTTCACATATGTAGCAACAGGAGTATAGAACCCGGGTGCTATGGGCTAATACTGTGCACCCCAGAGCCTATGCTGAAGCCTGAACCCCTAATGAGATAGCATTGGGGAAGCACTGAGAAGGGATTGGGTTGCAAGGAGGAGGGTAGAATCCTGGTAACATTAGTGTCCTTGTAAGAACAGGAAGAGACTAGAGCTCCCTCCCCTCCCTGCTATGGAAGCAGAGCCTTCAGCAGCCAGGAAGAGGCGGTGCCCAGAATCTCATCACAGTGGTCCTTGACTTCCCAGCCTCTGGAACTGTGAAAAGTCTTTCTGTCCTCTAAGCCACCCAGTCTACAGCAGTATTCTGTTTACAGCCTGAGCTAAGTCGTGGAGACTCTAAAGTGAAGGCTAAGAATGGATAAGAAAGAAAACCCCACCTGAAAGGGGGCTGTGCTGGGTCCTCTGCTGATCTCTTCCCTTCCCTAGCTCACCTGAGCTTCTGAGTTCCTAATACAGACATGGGAACTCTAGGACCCTTCCCCTCTTCCAAGGCATCCTCACCTGCAGTTTCCTCTTCTTCCTTGAGAGGCTTCCAGTCCAGTCACTGATGCGGCGCATTCTGGCTTTGAGAGTGTCTTTCTTTGCAGCATCCTCGGTTAAGGCTTTGGACTTGCGGCAGGGGAGAGTGAAGGAACTGTACTGTAAAGGGTCTCTGTGCTCCACCCTGGAGGGCACGTCCATGTCAGAGGCAAAGGAGACTCGGTTGCTCAGGCTGGCATGAGAGCTGATGTACTCATTGGAAGAAAGGCAGGTGCCAGAGGGGGAGCGGCACCCCAGGTTGGAATCTTTGTACAGTTCCCGGAGCGAGGAGAGGGAAGAGCTTTGGTTGAAAGGCTTTTTGGTATCACTGGGTGCGAAGCTGGTGGGGAGACTGGGATCAGGTGTGCGGGGAGTGAGGAAGGAGCCCTCCACCTCACTCAGCTCCCCAGCATTGCCCCAAGGGGAGTCATACCAAGATGACTCGGAGCTTAGGGAGCTGCCCTTGCTGGAGCGCAACTGAGAGTCAGTGGGAGAAGGGCGCTGGCTAGACGGGGAGTCGGCACCTGAATCCCTCCTGCTTTCTGGCACTGGGCAAGTTTGTGATGCCAGTGTAGGTGAGTACCTCAACAGCTGCACGGGTCCACTGGGGTCCTCCGTGGGGCCTTTGCTGTGGTTGCCACTGTTATGGAACTCAACCCTTAAACACCCATCCAACTTCCCCAGTGTCTTGATGAGCACCCTGGGGCTCCGGCGGTCCTCCGCTGGAGGAGTAGAGGTGATGCTGTCATTCCTCCCGTAGCAGGTAAGAAGGTGTCCATTGCAGTCCCTGGAGCTGGTATGGTTGTCACCTGGCTCACTGCCAACATAGTGGAAGCCATTCTCTGGTGAGAAAGCAACACTCCTGCTCTGGAAGTCATTTCCTGGGGCGCTGGCCCTGTGCTTGGAATGGACAGTGCCTTTGGGAACTTTGCACGTGGGTCCACTGGGTCTGGTGGCATAAGGCTGATGACTCTTAAAATGAGAAAGGCAGCTCCGGGCCAGGGACCTGGACTTGTAGCCTGCTCCACTGCTTCCATGAGTCCATCCATGCAAGGACTTCTCATCTTTTGCATGAATACTGCGGATTTTCAGGGAGCAAGGCTTTTGCTTAGCACCAGTTACAGTATTGCTATGATTTTTAGATCCTTGGAAGGTGTACTGACTCTCGGAGTTTCCCATTTTCACCTAGATTAAGAAGAGCTGTATCAGTGCGATTCATGTTCTACATGACATGGCAGCAAGAGTTTTCTAATAATAACATTGTCCCAGTGAAAGCTGGGGATTGGGGTGACCCCAACATTTCTTTCTATGCCTGATCTGATTAAATGGAGCAGAGACAAGCATCGGTTACTGAACTTTGTTTAGCTGCACTGGCCACACATATACTATTTCCTATTCCTGTGCTAGGGATATAAAGCACATTGTCAGCGGCATGATGTTAACGCAGAAATTGAACAGGCATAAATATCTCCTGAAGGCAGAGACCTCCTTCACAGCCAGTGTTGGCAGGTTTTGAACTAATGATTTTTGAAGCAAAAATGGAAGATGACTTTACCCACAGTCCAGACACAGGAAGGACAAATAACTTAATATTGTGTAACTGATCCCCCCAGATTCCAAAATCCTCAAATGTTCAAGTCCATTATATAGAAGGGTGCAATCTTGGCATATCAGTAACACACTCTCTTCCGTACACTTTAACTCCTAGATTATATACAACACCTCCATATGCAAATGCTATGGAAATCAATGTTATGCAGTATCTTTTCAGTGAGCAATTTCAGAAAAAAAAGTCTGATACGTTTAGTAAAGATATAATTTTTAAAATAGACATTGACTCATGGCTGGATGAATCTGCAAATGAAGAAACCTCTGACAAAGAGGACCAATCATGCTAGAGGTCAGTGTTCCCAAACAACCATATTAGTAATAACAGAATCCTAGATGCCACACTCTGTGGGAATTTCCATATATCACCTGCACTGGGAACATCACCAAAGGAAAGGTCTAGAGGCTCAGATGGAAAGGAGATGGGGAAATAAGAGCTCTTACTTAGGAGAGAAAAATGTTTTCACAGAACTAATCTCTAGAGCTTGCCTAAGATGCCACATTTACTCATTTTAGAATATAGTAAGAGAGACAGATAATACTTGGGGATGGAGAGACGGCTCAGTGGTTAGGAGTGCAGACTGTTCCTGCGGAGGACCCAAGTTGGTTCCCAGCACCCATGTCTGGCAGCTCACAAACTGCCTGTAATTCCAGCTCCACGAGGATCTGATGCCTCAGGCCTCTAAGGGCATTAGCACTCATGTGCGCTTTTCTCCACACTGAAACACACACACACACACACACACACAATGAAAAATAAATCTTTTTAAAAAGAAAAATTTACTGCTTACGGTTAGAATGTAGACAAACAGAAAAAAACTATTGAATCTTTAAATTCTGTTTTGCTCCAGGAGTCTGTTAGATAAGCCAGTGCAAATTAAAACTTGCTCCAAACCTCCTGCACCTTTTTTTAAAATGCTAATCAGCATGTCGCTATTCTAGGCCAACAGAGTTGTTGCTTACTGTTAGGTGTCCAAGCATGCTTAGCAGGTTTTTTAATTCCTCATTCTTACATACCTAAGCATGTAGAACCACAAAACAGAAACCAAATGGATGAACACCTCTTTGTGGCAGTTGTCAAACATTTCAGAAGCCAAACTGCTGAAGCAAATGAGCCCTTACGTATTATTGAGTTGGTCAGGCACTTGACAGGAAGCTCAGGGGCTGGAGCTGGCTTACCTGCAGCCTGGCTGTTGCTTGAGGGAGGTTAAAGCTCAGCAGGTTTTACATGGTCTTAGGAGCTGCACAGGCACTTAACAAACATGGGGTGAGTCCATGAAGTGATTCTGGAAAACAAAAACAGGAGAACACTCCATCAGGGATTATGCTCAGCTCCCAGTAAGGAGTAACAAAGAGGCGATGGATGCAGCTCAGTTGACAGAGGGTTTGTGTGGCATCTACAAAGCCCTGGGTTTCATCTCCAGTACAGCATAAAACTACGCATGGCGACCTAAAGACTGACTATAGGCTATCCAGGAGAAATTGCTGATGTTCAAAATCACCATTAAGGATCTAGCACGATGGCTCAGCAGGTAAAGGCAACTGCTGTTAGGTCTAAAGACCCGAGTTTGATCCCTGGGACCAATATTGTAGAAGGAGAGAACCAACTCCCCAAAGCTAAAAGCTGTGACCTCTGACCTTCACATGCACACTGTGGCATACCCTCCCAATAAATAAATAAAAATAAATAAATAAATAAAATCACTGTCGAGATAATATATGAGATGCCTGTGAACTTAATTTATCAAGGTTGTTTGAAGACACAAAAGAAGCCAGAAGTATCCATCCAATGTCTGTAAGTCAACGCCTGCCTTTGACTCACCAGGAGCAGGTGAGTGTTCAAATGAGCCAGGTTCATCGGTCACCATTCCCAGGAAAACAACTCTCGGACTCTGCTGACTATAGGGATGTTCCTTACCACCACCACCCCCCGCCCCCCC